TATCACTGTATTCTGTTCATTCAGAGATCAAAAGGGGATGTTAACATTTAGAACTGTGAACGTAGTTGTATTCGCAAAAAGAAAAGGAGGACTTGTGGCACCTTAGAGACTAACCAATTTATTTGAGCATGAGCTTTCGTGAGCTACAGCTCACTTCATCGGATGCATAAAGTGGAAAATGAAGTGATAGCATTGTCTTGATTTCTCTTTGAAGTATATAGCAAATCGCCTGCAAATGATGGGAGACAGGCGATTGCCTTATGTTAATCCATGGAGCTAAATACCGATGATGTTTAGGAAATAGGACGGTACTTCAGAGACACTGTTGTTCACCCAAGGACTGCATGTGGTCAAGAAAATGTATAAAGGGCTTTTGGGACCTGATCCTGTATGTTCTGGGGTTGTGCCCTTCCACTATCAACAGACACAGGTCGTCTCTGGAGTGGTTCTCAATCAGGGGTACGTGTCCCCTGGGGGTACGCAGCGGTCTTCCATTGGGTACATCAACTCATCTAGATATTTGCCTAATTTTACAACAGGCTACATAAAAAGCATTAGTACGGTCAGTACAAACTAAAATTTCATCCAGACACTGGCTTGTTTATACCGCTCTATACGCTATACGCGGAAATGGAAGTACAAGCTTTATATTCCCAACGATTTCTTTTATAATCCTATGGTAAAAATGAGAAAGTCACCAATTTTCAGTAATAGTGGCTGTGACACTTTTGTTGAGAGCCGCTGGCCTGGAGAGCGTCATTTCCGGCGTGTACACACAAGTCCTCACCTGTTCTCCATACGTACGTCTCCACGGTGGTTCGGATGGCCAGTGTGACACAGGCTTTCGTTAGAGAATTACGTGATATTCTCAAGTGGAACGGATGGGTCACTCCTATGCACCTCTATGCCTGCTGCCAGTTGGCATCTGGAAGTCCTTGGGTCACACCTCCCACCACCCCTCCCCACAGCATGAGGGGCACCCCTGACGTTCCCTCCCCTGCCCCCAGGAGGGCTGGTTTGTCCCCTCTCCATGCTAATCTACTACACTGTGAATTCCCCCTCCTGGAGATGGGGCCCTGTCATTGCCCAGCATTAGGTGTTCAGTGCCTAGGACAGTGGGGTCCTCATTCCTGACTGGGTGTCCTTAAGCTTAAACCAATGGGCTAGGACTCAGGAGATCTGGGTTCAATTCCCAGCTGTGCTACTGACTCCCGGGTCTGACCTAGAGCAAGTCACTGCATCTTTCTGAGCCTCAGTTTTCTACCTGTAATAATGATCCTTCTCTTGAATACGTAGACTGAAGGGTCTTTGTGACAGGGACTGTGTGTCTGCCACAATGGGGCTCTGATCTCAGCTGGGACAGGGACTGTCTCTCACTGTGTGTCTGTGAAGTGCCCGGCACCGTGGGGCCCTGATATAACAGGACTGATATTATTTTGCCGTTGCTACTTATTAAGGAGCAACACCACTATTAAACAATGATGCTGAAGGGACTTTGCGGTATAAAGGGCAGCCAGGGGATCTGGTACGTTTCACCCTGCCTCAGCCCCATCTCCCCTGGAGTTTCTATCCCATCCTCCACTCAGAATGTGGCTCCACGGGCTTTAAGCGGTTAACTCCACAGTGCTCCCCCCTCCAAGCTCCCCCGTCCCCTCATGTAAGCCCCAGATGGCTCCCAGCTCCTGATCTCAGTTCCGCCTCCATGCTCCCCATGTCACCCCCACTACCAAAATCCTCTGATCCCCCCATTCCACGGCACCCACCCGTTTCCACTCCTCGTTCCCCAAACAGCCCCTGCCACCCATCTGCCCCCCTACCAGAATCCCTCCGTGATCCCTTCCTTCCCAGCCTGTGTTCCCCACCCTGCCTGTCCTTCCACTGCAGGGACCCCTGCCCTGACCCCCTCCCAGCCTGTAACCCCCTCCATGTCACCCGCCTCCCCTACTGCTGAGACCCCTCCCAGCTTCCCCTTCCCCATGCCACCCTCCTCCACAGTGGCCCGGATCCCTTCCTGACCCCTGCCACACAACACCTGGTTCCCAACTCCGGGCACCCCGTAGCTGGCTGGTTTCCCAAGGGTTAACAAAATTGCAGTGACAACACTGGGCGAGCATCCTGTCTGGGAGCTCTGGGATGACCCTGCCCAGCCCCAGTCCCAGGTGAGAGGCGGGGTTTGGGAGCAGGCGGTATAAATCCCAGAGCTTGGAGCCGGGACGGTGCAGCTCGCTTTACCCCAGCCAGCAGAGACGAGGTCAGCCACTGCTGCCCCCAAAGGCCTCCAGGATGGTTTCCGGCGGCGGCGGACAGTCGCCCCTTGGCGTGACTCCCATGATTCTCCTGGTTCTGTGTCTCCATCTCCCAGGTAGGTCCTGGGCCTCCCTGGGGGTTAAAGGTCATCCGCTGCGCCTTTGGCTTTCGTGGCTCGGAGGGGCTGCCACTGGTTGTGATGTCAGTGACGGCTGCGATGGGGTGGTGGGGTGGTGTCGGCTGGGGAGAACAAGCCGGGTGGGAGGTTGCAATGGGGGTGGTGCAGAGAATGCAGAGGGAGAGGCGGGCAGTGTGGGGGGTGCAGGCTGGGGGCGAATTGGGTAGGGAACCCAGAAAGAGCAGAGGTGGGTGGTATCGGGAACGCGGGCTGGAGAGGGGTTTTTTTTGAAGAGGTATCCCAGTAGAGGGGGAGATGGATGGGGTGGGGAGAGTAGGCCGGGATGGCAGATGCAGGAGGCATCCCAGCAGAGGGGGAGGTGCGTGGGGTGGGGAGCTCTTATGGGACTCAGGGAAGGATCCTGGAAGCAGAGGGGATAGATCAGCCCTGGACCTGAGCAGAAATTCCTGGTGGAGTCAGCCTGTCCTCATTAGCTTGTTTATAAAGTGCGGGAGTGAGTCAGAAAGAAGCAGGTGGGGCGGCTGGGGGTTATTAATTCCAGGTTGACTAGTTTTTATGACTGTTTTGATCTTCAGCCTAATAATCATGAAACTCCTCAACACCCAGTGACTTCAAAAGCTCTCTCTCACACACACACCCAGTACGTGCCTGGTAATTTCGCTTGCTGCCAGGCTCTCCTAATGAGCAAGGATACAGAAACTAGGAATAGAGCCCAGGAATCCTGACTCCCAGCTCCCCCCCCCCCCCCGCTGTAACCACTAGACTTTACTTCCCTCCCAGAGCTGGGACTAGAACCCAGGAGTTCTCACTCCCAGCCCTCCTGCTCTAAGTGCTAGACCCTACTCCTCTTCCATGAAAGGTGCAGTGCTGTCACAGGGTGCCCAGGTGGGGACACACAATAGGGATTATCTTTGCACTAAGGGCATGGGGTCTGTTGAAGTCAATGGAAAGACATCCTCTTCCTCATTGACTTCAGTGGACTGGGAAGTCACCTATTACATTGCCCCTAGTGGTAGCCCCCTATCCCCTGCACCAATTAATAGGAGATGGACAATATTATAGCAGAGCACCAACCCTGCTCTAATTAAGGTTGAGATCAACTTTCCCTTTAAAGGCAGACTCTTCTAAAACCTGCAGGGTTATGTGGATTGCCTTGCAATTCGGTGGGTCTTCTCTGGTGAACACTCACTGTCATACCAGGTCCTCTGCCCTCAAGGGAAGCTGATGTGATTCAACTCCTGGCATAATACCACGGCACTGAGATACATTTATAGTGATGACAGCAATAATTTCATTATCGAAGGTACAAGTGATAGTGGGGAAAGACAATGGAAACAAAACAGGGTGCATATAAAACATAACCCGCTTTCTAGAGACTAGCCTTCACTTAGCCGGCTAACTTTGAAAGTGATCTCACCCCAGACAACGCAGCCTGTCACCCAAAGTTGGCTGCGATCCCGTTTTCATGAATGTAACCGCGCTGCCTGCTGATTTCTTAGGTGCCAGATAAAGGGGGGTCTTCCTTGCCTTCTGTCAAAGTCAGATTCAGGACTCACATAATTTGTCAGACCACTCTGTTTATTAGCAAAGCGCTTCGCTAATGCACCCAGATGTGAGCCCCTCTCTGAGGCTCAAGATAACTTATTTGTACAGCTAAGCCAAAGCCAATTTAACATAAGAGACAAAAGAAAGCAGAAACTGACAAATATACATACATATCTCATTTGCATACTAACGTTTACCAATCTCCTAGCTCAGTAGGAGCTCTAAGTTAATCAGTTTGAGGACCCATTGTCTCACACTCCTTAATGTTTCTCTTCCTGACAACTATATTTCAACAAACCCTTCAAGTAGCATTTCTTTAATGAATTATAATTTCAATATAATTCATTCTACTTTCACACTTCCCTTTATAGCCCCTAAAGTTTGTCATCTGTCCCTAGAGTCAGGAACACCCTCCCTGTAGCTTATTCTAAGCTTATTCTTATTCTGTGCCTGCCTGTTGATTTCACATCCCCTCAGCTGAGTTGATATGTAAATAAGGCTTCTACTGGGTTGGCTTACAATGCTTCGTTTACATGCCGACCCAGAGAAATTTGTCCGGCAGAAAACCTCTTTGTCATCCCTGCCTCGATACAGATGGTTGGAACGGATTTTCAGTACACAGATGTAATTCCTCGCATAGGAGCTGTACAGACATTTCACAACGATATTAATCACCAGCATGATCCCAGCTGTCACTTACGATCTCACCTGGTGTTCTTTGGTGGACCAGAATGTATGTGTCGAGATCTGGCTATTTGTGTAACCCAGTTGGCATTGGGGGTTTGTTAAGGCCACACCTGCTGCTGACACAATACTACCCAATGCCGTGCTGACTTGAAGAGGGCTGGTGCACCTCTTCCTTTGCTCACACACCAGAGTCAGGGAAAGGGGCTCACGGCAGCCCCCGCCACCGATCTCCTCGTTTCACAATCACAACTCTGCCGAGCTGCTCCATCAAATCCCTCCACCATTCAATAACCAGAATGCAGAGGCTCTTGCCACCTCCAGGGGGGCAGAGTTAAGGTTGTGGGGGGTATTTATCTTAACTCTGTATTTCCTGATTTTAAGAAACGTTAGTGTGGCTGAACTTGCCTTTGTGGAAGGGCACCCAGGCAGACTGAGTGCTGTGTTAATCAAGGGTTGTGCCAGTGAATAACCTCTCCGCCTCTCTCATAGGCTCGGCGTCCAAGTGCATCCCACGGCTGGAGGAGCCAGTGCTGGAACCGTTGCCAGCTGGCGTGGACCCCTACATGCAGCCAGCGGGGATCCTGCAGCCCCAGGTCCGCCCACAGGGGCAGGGGGTTGGTAACGAGCCTGGGGTATATGGAGGAACTGATTCTGGATCGTATGGAGGACCTGGGCCCGGATCGTATGGGATAGATGGGCCCGGGGCCTATGGAGGAGCCGGGACTGGATCCTACGGAGGAACCGGGACTGGATCACATGAAGGACCTGGGCCCGGATCGTATGGGATAGATGGGCCCGGGGCCTATGGAGGAGCCGGGACTGGATCCTACGGAGGAATGGGATGTAGAGGATGGGGAGGAGGAGGGACGGAGGAATCGGGACTGGATCACATGAAGGATCTGGGCCCGGATCGTATGGAATAGATGGGCCCGGGGCCTATGGAGGAGCCGGGACTGGAACCTACGGAGGAATCGGGACTGGATCACATGAAGGACCTGGGCCCGGATCGTATGGGATAGATGGGCCCGGGGCCTATGGAGGAGCCGGGACTGGATCCTACGGAGGAACCGGGACTGGATCACATGAAGGACCTGGGCCTGGATCGTATGGGATAGATGGGCCCGGGGCCTATGGAGGAGCCGGGACTGGATCCTACGGAGGAACCGGGACTGGATCACATGAAGGACCTGGGCCTGGATCGTATGGGATAGATGGGCCCGGGGCCTATGGAGGAACCGGGACTGGATCCTATGGAGGAACCGGATGTGCACCGTACGAAGCAGCCGGAACTGGGTCACAGGAACAACCTGGGCCCGGATCATATGGAATAAATGGCCCCGGAACCTATGAAGGAGCCAGGCCGGCTATATCAGTGGGGTGCTCCCCAACACAGTATGGGATGCCGGGTGCTGGCTATGCGGTTGGCTCAGGCAGGCCATCTGGGCACTTCCGGCCAGTCTATAAGGACCCCAGCATCCCCTATGTGCCGAGCCTCTCGGAGCTGCCCAACCATGCAGGACGCGTGATGTCGTCCATGCCCAGGGTCTCTGCTGACAATGGTGTTGGAGGGGGAGCAGGAACAGGAGATGTGTCAATGCCGGGCTCTTCCAATCCCATGCTGCCCAACGGCCCTTAATCCACAGGGCGTGAGGAGCGAGCTGGTGAGGTTTAGCAGCTAAGGCAGGAGGAGGGCAGGACGCCTGGGTTCTGTCCCCAGCTCTGGGGGGTATGGTTTAGGAGTGAGAGCAAGGGAATGGGACTCAGGACACCTGGGTTCTATCTCCAGCTGTAGGAGAAGAGTGGGGTGTAGGGGTTAGAGTTGGGGCGGGCCAGGACTCCTGGGTTCTATCCCCAGCTCTTGGTGGGGAGTGGGGTCTAGCCATTAGAGCAAGAGAATGGGGGCTTCTATCCCAGCTCTGGGGGGAATGGGGTCTAGTGGTTAGAGCAGGGTGGGAATGGGGATGATGACTCCTGGGTTCTGTCCCGGCTCTGTGAGTAGGGTCTAGTGGTTAGAGTGGGAGGGGGAATGCGGGCCAGGCCTCCTGGGTACTAGCCGAGCTCTGTGAAGGGAGTGGAGTCTAGTGGTTTGGGGTGGGGGGTGGCTGGGAGTCTGTACTCATGGGGTCTATCCCCCACTCTCCTGTCATGCCCCTGACTGGGCCACTCCATTGTTGTGTGCTTCAGTTTCTCCCATTGTGTTCCAAGACGTTTTGCTCAATGCTTAGTTGTGGACGGGAGTAAGCGCTTATTGCCCTCCCTGTGTAAATTCCCCACCCCCATCCCCTCATCCACCATTTCCCTGATCTCTCCCCACCCAACCTGGATCACTTCACCCCTCCACCCCCCAACCACGTCTCCTTCCCATATGGTCAGTGATCTCAAGGCCTTTGTATTGCTGGGATGCCTGGGTGGGGGTGAAGAGGATGGCTGCGTCTCTCTCTGCTCCTCGTTTCTGATGCTCTAAATGCTTCCAATAAAATCCTTGCTCTGCTAGGTCATTTGGCTTATTTCCTCCCTGCGGAGCGAGTTCGGGGCAGGAGCCAGGCAGCGCTGGGAGCTCAGAGCAGGGACGGGATGGCCAGCAGCGGCGCACACTCCCCCCGACCTCGCTTCCCGGCATTGCCTGCTGGGGACAGAGGGGAGCTCAGTCACTGGAGCCCATCCACGACGCTCGACGGACACTGCCAGCAGGTTCCTTCTGATGTGAGCGTCTGCAAAGAACAGTGCTGAGAACCCACCCACTTGTTTCACCCATGGGGGTGAAAACCAGATTGGAACTGGCGCCCCCTAGAGGGGAAAGGCTCCGTGTCCCATTCCCTGCCCCTTGAACCATCCAGTCCCCCACCCTGGGGCCCAGTTGGAGCTGGGACCCCCTAGGGGGAAAGGCTCCCTGTCCCATTCCTGGCCCCCCTGAGCCAGCCAGTCCCTCTGCCTTAGGGCTGGATCAGAGCTGGGACCCCCTAGGGAGAAAGGCTCCGTGTCCCATTCCCCGTCCCCCTGAACCATCCAGTCCCCCACCCGGGGGCCCAATTGGAGCTGGGACCCCCTAGGGAGAAAGGCTCTGTGTCCCATTACCCGCCCCCCTGAGCCAGACAGTCCTCCAGCTTTGGGGCTGGATCAGAGCTGGGACCCCCTAGGGGGAAAGGCCCCGTGTCCCAGTCCCATGAGCCAGCTGCTCCCTCCACCCTGGGGATGGACTGGAGACTCTGCCCCCCCTCCTCTCCAGGCGAGACCATGGGCAGCGTTGGCATCAAGATGTAACACGGTTGCAAAAAAAGCGAACATCGCTCTGGGATGTATGAGCAGGCGTGCAGTAAGCAGGACACGAGATGTAATTCTTCCGCTCCACTCCGCGCTGATACGGCCTCAACCGGAGTGTTGTGTCCAGTTCTGGGCGCCACATTTCCGGAAAGATGTGGCCAAACTGGAGAAAATCCAGAGAAGGGCAACAAAAATGATGAAAGGTTTAGAAAACACGACCTATGAGGGAAGATTGAAAGCACTGGGTTTATTTAGTCTGGAGAAGAGCAGACTGAGAGGGGACATGATACCCGCTTTCAAGTACATAAAAGGTTGTTACAAGGAGGAGGGAGGTAAATCGTTCTCCTTAACCTCTGAGGACAGGACAAGACGCAATGGGCTTAATTTGCAGCAAGGGAGGTTTAGGTTGGACATTAGTGGGGAGGGATAGCTCAGTGGTTTGAGCATTGGCCTGCTAAACCCAACATTGTGAGTTCAATCCTTGAGGGGGCCATTTAGGGATCTGGGGCAAAAATTGGGGCTTGGTCCTGCTTTGAGCAGGGGGTTGGACTAGATGACCTCCTGAGGTCCCTTCCAACCCTGATATTCTATGATTAGGGGAAACTTCCTAACTGTCAGGGTGGTTAAGCACTGGAATAAATTGCCTAGGGAAGGGAATCTCCATCATTAGAGATTTTAAAGAGCAGGTTGGACAAATCTGCCAGGGGTGGTCTAGATAATACTTAGTCCTGCCATGAGTGCCAGGGACTGGACGAGATGACCTCTCGAGGTCCCTTCCAGTCCTATGATGCTATAATTCTAAGATGGGCTGGGCCGGCGGGCAGAACAATCACCTCATCTGACACTCCAGTGTCAGATAGACCAGGGCGTCCCCCCCGAGATTCCTCCTGGCTCACCTCCGCACCCACCCCAGGCCCCACGTCTCTTGTGGAAGACAGAAACGTCTGAGTCGCCAACGTCTAACCAGGGCTGAGCTCACCCCATGCGAAAGGGGACGCAAGCTGTCTGACGGCTGCCTATGTCGTGGGGGCTTGATTTGGAAGCGGGGTGGGGTGGGAGGAGGGAGGTGGGATGGCTGCAGTGGGGAATAGGCCATCAGGAGTTTGGGGACACTGGCCTGGGGTGGCAGGCGGGGGAGGGGGAAGGACGGCAGGGGACAGGGCTACCTAGACGAGCGACCCGATCCACTGAGCCCAAACAGCGCGGGGAGCCCCCTGCTCAGCAGCGAACAGGGTTGGGTTGGGGGAAGAGGTTTCCTGGAGCCACGGCTGGAGAAGAGAGCGTCCCCCACCCCCGGAGCCTAGCCCGGAGAGAGGGGCTTTGTACTGGCCTCGAGACGGGGAGTTCAAAGCCTAGCCCCAGAGCAGGGCCGGCCTCTGGAAAAACCGCACCCTGGGCGAACTTGTATTTTAACGCCCCTGCCCCCCGCTGCCTCCAGGGGCCAGGGGCGGCAGAGGCTTCCAAAAAGTAGGGGGGCCAGGGACTCCGCCCCCTTCATGGCCCCGCCCATGCCCCTCCTCTGACCCCCGGGGCCACGCCCCCGGCCAAGACGGAAGCCAGAGCCAGGCTGGGGAGCCTGGGCCCCTCCACCTGCCAAGGCTGGGGGGAGCCTGAGAGTAGCCCCCAGCCCATGTCCCCACCCGCCAGGCCCTTCCCCCAGGGCAGGTGGAGGGTCCACGGCTCCCCACAGCTGCCTGGGCTCCTCGGCAGGGCTCTGCCGGCAGGGCCAAGGGGCGGGGCCTCGGGGAAGAGGAGAGATGGGGGTGGGGCCTGTGGTGAAATGTGGACGGGCCATGGCCCCCTGGTTCCCCCTGTTCCGGCACCCCTGCCCTGGGCTCCCCACCCGCCCCATCACCCCTGCCATCTCCCCAGGCTCCCCACCCATCCCCCCATTGCCCTGGCCCCCGCTGCCTTCTCTGCCCCACCCCACATCCCCCCAGCCCCTGCTGCCTCCCTGGGCCCCACTGCCTCCCGCCCTCATTGCCCTGAGCTCCCTTCTGCAGCCTTGCACCCCAGCCTTGCCCCGCTCCTTGTCTCTTGACCACGGCGCCCTCGGCCGTCACCCACCCCTGCCCCAGAGACATCAATGGGGCACGTCATCCTGCCGTGGTGCGGCTGGGGATTTCCACTCCGCCCGCCCCCAGTGACTCCAGCAGGGGAAGACGCTTAGAGCACCACAGCAAACGCACGGGGGACACTGGTCGTCCTCCGACCCACCCACGCTTCTGTTCGGGTTACAGGCTGCCATGCACCGCACTGCCCCTGGGGGGGGGGCGCTTATTAGGGTTAGAGGCTGCCCTGCACCAGGTGGCCACAAGGCCTAGGGCCTGGGGTGCCCAGTCAAGTCTCTATTCCTGCAAATAAGCACTTACGGGTTTCCCAGCCAGGTTTCGTTAGTGGCTCTCCTTGGACCCCCCTATACTGGTTCCCTGCCCAGCCGCTGCTGCTCCCCTCAAACCCCTTGCAGACTGGCACCAGTTGTGATCTCTGGGGGCGGCCTGTTTCATGGGCGGCTCTGCCCACGCTTCCTGGGGCTCCCACCCCACAATAGAGCCCAGCCGTCCCCTGGCTCAGGACCTTTCCTCTTACAGGGGCAGGGGAAAGGGAGCATGCAGTAGGGAGGGGCTGATGGGAGATGTAGTCACTCGCTTTGCAGGTCCATCACCCTGGGAAGCGAGAATGGGGCAATGGGATTTCAGAGCCATGGAGTGGGTTTGTGGGGAGGTGAGGAGACTCGGGAGAGAGAGAGATGTTCAGCTGGCAAGGGTCAATGGAGGTGACCCCCAGCCCCCCTGCTCTAACCCACTAGACCCCACTCCCCTCCCAGAGCTGGGGAAAGAACCCAGGAGTCCTGATTCCCAGTCTCCCTTGCTCTAACCCACTAGACCCCACTCACCTCCCAGAGCTGGGGACAGAACCCAGGAGTCCTGACTCCCAGTCTCCCCTGGTCTAACCACTAGCCCCCACTCCCCTCCCAGAGTTGGGGATAGAACCCAGGAGTCCTGGTTCCCAGCCCCCCTGCTCTAACCACTAGCCCCCACTCCCCTCCCAGAGCTGGGGATAGAACCCAGGAGTCCTGACTCCCAGACTCCCCTGGTCTAACCACTAGCCCCCACTCCCCTCCCAGAGCTGGGGACAGAACCCAGGAGTCCTGACTCCCAGCCCCCCTGCTCTAACCACTAGCCCCCACTCCCCTCCCAGAGCTGGGGACAGAACCCAGGAGTCCTGACTCCCAGTCTCCCCTGGTCTAACCACTAGCCCCCACTCCCCTCCCAGAGCTGGGGATAGAACCCAGGAGTCCTGGCTCCCAGCCCCCCTGCTCTAACCACTAGCCCCCACTCCCCTCCCAGAGCTGGGGACAGAACCCAGGAGTCCTGACTCTTCCGTCTGCTACCACTAGATTGTGCTGCCTCCCAAGAGATGTGAGTGCCCGAGCGTGCTCCTAAATCACAGGAAAGACGCAGGTTCAATGACACCGGTGTGGCTGATCCGTGACCCTAACGCAGGGATCCATTAATTC